TGAAGGCTATGGACTCCATTGCCAGGTAACCCACACATCACAGTAAACTTGGCTGGAGTGTATAGCACCCCCACCTCCGTGCCCCTCCACTGCTCTCCTCAAGCCTCTCTGCAGCATTCCCGGTTACCAGTGCTTCACGTCCCCATTCCAACTCTGCAGGACAGCCAGCTTGCTGCTTCCTGTAGGTTCTAAATAGGTCCCATGACACAACAGATTGCTTATCTCACCAAAGGAACAGTCCAACCTTTCTCAGATTCTCCCTCCTGGCTTCCCATGGATTTTCTGTTGGATGGAGAAGTGAAAGAGATGTGAAGCAGAAGATTCTTGAGGTTTTGGAGCTGACATTCCACGGAGATGAATGCTAACAAAGGCCTAATTTTACTAATCCTGAAAGGGATGCACTGGCCTTCCTGGGTCACTGCCTGCACCATGCAGCCTTCCTCCCCAGCCCGGGGCATAGAGCTGTCTTTTGAGAAGCCTTTGAAGTTGCAAAGAGCATACATTACTTTTTAAGAGCAACCCCTAGAGATGTTTTGTAAGCACCTTTCCTCAAGTGGCTGCTAACTGAATAAAATAAAATAGCTGCTTTTCATAAAGATAAACAGAGAAAGAAGCAGGATTGGGGAAACGGTTCCTCCCTATCTCCCTGATGAGCAAATACTGAACTGCCTCAGGCTCAATCCTCAGACCTAGATCCTCCTCTGTAAACATTCATCATCAAGAGTATCTTATTCAGATCCAACCAGACTCCCTCAACATAGATGACAATGGTGTGACTGGGACAATATATGAGGCCACTGGCAGTGGGTCCAAGATCTAACTCTAATGCACAAACTAACTTAGCAGAGCCCATTCTATATGGAGAGATACCTTGCCCAGCCTAGACACAAGGGTGTGGGGGTGGAGAGGTGCCTTGGTCCTGCCTCAAGGAGATGATGGAACAGACTTAGTAGGCTTCCTAGAGAAGGCCTTGCTCTCTCAGAGGAGTAGAGGGGAGTGGGGGGGGGGAACAGGAGGAGAGAAGGGAGGGGGAACTGGGATTGGAATGTAAAAACTTAATTAAAAAATGTTTTTTTAAAAAAGAGTACCTTATCCAAGCTAAAGGTTTTAAAAGCTATCTGTACACTGAAGACCATTTTCTCCTTATCATGAAAATCTATGTGTCTGTTCATGTGTATAAGCGCATGTGAATTCACACATGTGTGAGTGCCAGAGGTCAACCTGAGGTCTGCTTTCTTAGGAGATGGCCATCTTGTTTTTAAGAAATGGTCTCTCACTGGCATTGGTGGCGAATGCCTTTAATCCCAGCACTCAGGAGGCAGAGACAGGCAGATCTCTGTGAGTTCGAGGCCAGCCTGTCTACAGAGCTAGTTCCAGGATAGCCTCCAAAACAATACAAAGAAACCCTGTCTCGAAAAACCAAAGAAAGAAAGAAAGAAAGAAAGAAAGAAAGAAAGAAAGAAAGAAAGAAAGAAAGAAAGAAAGAAAGAAAGAAATGGCCTCTCACTGCAGATTTGGCTAGGCTGGTCGGCCAGTGAGCTCCAGGGATCTGCCTATCTCCTCCTCTGTGATAGGATTATCTGTGCTTGTCGCCATGCCCAGCTTTTCCCATGAGTTCTGGGTCTAGAGTTTAGGTCCTCATGCTTGCACAGAAAGTGCTGGACCAACTGAGCCTTCTTCCTAGCCTTCACACTCTGAACACTATGTCTCCGTCCAGCCTGACATCCAACTGTCATCCAACACCTCTTCTTGGATGTCTCCAGACCCCTCTAAATGAACACATCCAACCTGAATCCCTGCTCTTCCCTCTTCTGCTTCTCAGTAAGCGTCAATCCATCCTCCAAGTTTCTCAAGTATAAATGCAAACAGTGCCCAGTGATGCCTGTCTCGATCACCGCATGCCCCTCAGGAAACTCATCCAAAAACTCTGCCAGCTTATTTACATGTGTCCAGAATATGACCATTTCTTACCACCTCCCTCCCAACCCTGCTCTAAACCACCACACCTCTCTGTAGTATGATCAGCTCGGTCACCCTCTAACTGCCCTCTTGCCATTTAGTGCAGGAAGAGTGATTCAATCCAGTTGTGTTGGATCTGTCACTCTTCTTGTCATGCTCCAGGGGCTTCCCATGTATCCATTATAAAAGTGAATATGGGACCATGAGTGGTGGTGTGTGCCTGTAACTCCAGAACCCAGGAGATCAAGGCAGGAGGAGAGTTGACCATTCTGGACCACATAGTGAAACTTCACCTCAAAATAGCATGAATTTTACAGCTGTGACAGAGATCCATAAATGGCCAAAATTCAAAGATTAAATAAGCATGGGGGTGTCCAGCCCTAATTGGTACATCTACAGTGCAACCCCTACACCTAAGGCACAGGGAACCTCCTTTTTGAGGTGGACTGGAAAAGATGTGAGAGCCAGAGAACCAGGATGCCTACTGTGAGATTGTGTCTTCCAGTAGTCACAGGGAAGTTGCACCCATGAAATCTCAACAATATGGTTGCCTGCAAATGAGAGAGAGAGCTTCATTCTCTAAGATCTGCTACTCTGGAGAACCCTGACTAATACACTGACTTCATCATTCCTCCAGCTTCGTGTCCACCTCTGTGCTCACTGCTATTCCATGCCCTTCCCCAGCCACCGTCTGCTGGCCATTCTCTCCACGTGCTTGAGTCTCTTCTATAAGCATCAAATCTAAAGCTGCCTCTTCCACCCTGTAGCTCTCCACCCACTCTTCCATTGCCGTCTTACTGTTATCACTACTAAAAATGTATATGTAGCTCATGTTGTCATCTGTCAGATCCCTAGTGCCTTTAACAGTGCCTGGAGGCTGTTTATATTTTGTACTTGACTAACTTGGAGGATGGATTGGCCACTCACTGAGATAAAGAAGACCAGGGGAGGTGCACACTCAGAATACATTTAACTTCCAGGATGAATCGATGAATGGACTAAGTACATTCTGACTCACATTTACCCAAAAGTCATCTCGAATTCAAAGAACTCTTAGGTGTTAAAAGCCAAGATGTGAACCCATATCCAAGGAAGGAAACTGGAAATGTTGAAAGGGAAATGGGGAGGGGTTCAGAGGAGAAGAAGCAAGCAAACACCCAGGAGCAAAGCCTAATTGCACACTAAACCAAACTCACCTCAGAGTACACTCCTAAAAGTGCTTGGTGTGTATCTTCCAGTTAAGAGGCTGAAGCTTGGAGAAACAACACCTTATGCAAGGTCACACAGCTGCTCTGTGACAGAACTAAGCCTAAACATCCCAAGGTCTGTGTTCTCTCCTTCAAAGAAAAGGAAGTCCTGGTTTCCATGGATGAAATAGAGTTCAAGAACCACCTCAATCACCAGGAAACAGACTTTTAAAAAGATGTCTGATGGAGTCAATGCCATATAAATCCAAGTTAATAAAAGAAGGTTGTTATAAGGAAGTCAGGCAGGCGAGGATAGAAGAAGGCAGACCACATTCCTCGTTCTTGGCAGCAGCTTGCTGGTCCATTGACTCTACTGAGCCAGTAGTCAAACATTGAGCTAAATGTCTGCTAGCTTATTTTCATGTTAGCGTGACTAAAATACCTGAGACGCTTTAAGAGAGGGAAAGCTTATTCCAGAGGGAGCCATCTACCACTCAGAAGGCATGGCAGAGTTCCTGGTTGCAGGAGCATGTGGCAGGCCACGAGTCAGAGAACACTGGGACAGGACTATAACCTTCAAAGACCAGCCCCTAGTGACTACACATGCTAATCGGTTCCCAGCTTCTAAAAGCACCACAGCTCCCCCAAATAGCACCAGCATTTGGGGAGTAAGTATTCAAAACAGGAGTGTGAGGGGCACAGTTTCCATTTAAATGCTATTTGCAAGTGTTGGTCCTTCTGAAGTCACGTAGAAGCAGTACCAACCAGGGTCGCAGTACCAACCAGGGTCAGTGCAGGGTCAGTGCTGTGTGCAATGGTCTGTAGCCTCAGCACCTCTTTTATTTCAACAATGCCTAAAAATTCGCACAATTATTTGAGCATGTCCTCCAAACATGGAGAAATATCTTTGTCTCAGAACTCACAAACACACTGGGCAAACTGTTTGTTTTCATAACCTTGAACTTTCACATTTAAAAGAAAACATGTACTAGACAAAAGAATTCACTTTGGATGGGAGCCTTCCTCTCTTTGAATGAAAGGAGAGTATCTCAGAGCCTCTGAGCCTGTGTTGGTTTCTCCCAGTGACAGTGTTAAGGGGAGCTAGGACTTCTCCCATGTCTCCTAGGTTGAACTAATGCCTGGTGTGCTTTTCTGGATGTTGAAAGCATCTTGGCGTTGAAATACTACAACACAAGACGCTGAGATGGGTACTTGAATCATGGGTCCACAGGAACAATGAGTCCTAGCCTGTTCTCTGCTTCCTGTTGCTATGATGACAGACCAAGAACAACCTGGAGAAACAAAGGATTTATTTGGCTTCCACTTCGCATCACAGTCCACCTTTGGAGGAAGTCCAGGCAGGAACCTAGAGGCAGGGACTCAAGCAGAGACCATCAGGGGATGCTACTTATCCGCTTGCTTTTAAACTCACATTCATCCACTTTTCTTATACCTCCCAGGATCATCTGCCCAAACATGGTACCTCCCACAGTGAGCTGGGTCCTTCCACATCAAGATAATTCCCCCACAACTTGCCTACAGGCCAATCTGATGGAGGCATTTCCTTAGTTGGAGTTCTCTCTGTAGGAGGAAGTCTGATGCCGCCATTAAACATGTGACTTATTAGAGGCGCATACAGATGAGGTAATAAAAGGGCGGTTTACCACACCGCTAACCACACCCACTTTAGGCAGGACTAAAGACGTATACGGCTGGACGTATACGTACGTAGGCGGAACTACGTCAATAGCCAGGCCCACTTTTGGGCATGGCTAGGGGCGTTACGGGGGGAGGCATAAAAGACAGCGCACAGGAAGTCTCGCTCTCTTTTCCTGGAGTTCGGCTTCCGGTCCGGCCGCTAGCTGAGAACTAGATCCTCTGGGTTTGGTATCTTGTGAGTATTTTCTATATTAAATACTTAGCCTTATTTTCAGTAATTGCGTGTCGAGTATAGTTACAGCGTCCGTTGAAGCCAACACTCTCCTCCAAGGTAACTCTAGTTCACATACTGTTGACAAAAACTATCCAGCACAGTCGCTTACAGGTGCATAGTCCTTGGCAGTACCATGACTCTGCATGTGAGCTGCCATCGTACGGCCCAGAGATTACCTACCTGTGCTTTGAGTTTAGATATAGGGTCTAAGGGGTGCTAGTTGGATAAAAATGATAAAAACAGAGAAGCTATGAGAGGGACCATTATGCAAACTACAAGAGATGGATAAATGAAGTTCACCAAGCACAGAACTGGACTTAGCATCAGCTACTGATGGAGTTCCAAAGACACCAGCCATTCCAAAAAAGGACAGGAAGGTTGGAGTTCAGCTGGTGGAGTGCTTGCCTAGCATGCACAAAGCCCTGAGTTCAGTCCCCAGCACAGAAAACACAAAACAACAACAACAAAAGAAGAAGAAAAAGCCCACAGGTATAGTAGGACATGCCTGTATTGCCAGCACTCACAGGTAGAGGCCAGCCTGGCCTAAAGACACTGTGTCAGTTCATAGAAGTCAGAAGAGTGGGGGAATCCAAGGCCTTAGGAGGAGACTGGTTTTACTTCTCTGGGAGCCCAAAGACTCACCACTGTCCTTAGAGAATTGGTAGGATCCAAAACCACAGTTTAATAATAATATCCGCAGCTCAGTACTCCTTCTTGTGTTCATTCATTTAAGAGATGTTGTTACATGACTCTTCCATTCATGCCATCTGGCAGAGAGGCCCAGCTACCAGCAATAGAAAGGACTCTGTCCTCTACATTCCCCCTTTCACATTTTTTGTCCATTTTTTTCTTAAAGACTTCTGCTGTTGCAAAGCTGGGAGCCTTCACCAAGAGGTTGGAAGACCCTCATCTCCATCTTTACCCCTGAAAATCCAAACACCTGCTATAAAAACCAAATCCAACAAACAACAACAAAAGGCCAGGTATGGTGGTGCACACCTTTAATCCCAGCACTCAGGAGGCAGAGGCAGGTGAGTCTCTGAGTGTGAAGACAGCCTGGTCTTCATAGCAAGTTCTAGGCTAGCCTAGAGCTACATAGTGAGACTGTGACTCAGAACAAAACAAAACAAACCACCACCAGTTGCCCAGCTCCAGCTCCAGCAGCCAAGGATGCTCTGGGTACATTTAGGAGTACTCCGTCATAATAAGGTCCCAGTTACAAACCAAATCATTATTACACCAAAGTTAAGCTTGAGCACCAAATGCATTAACTGAGCTTTCTTCCCAAAATGGTAAGGGGCTATTTTCAGGAATGTGGAGAACCCCCGAGTAGTCACACTAGAAACTTCATTGCACACAATGATGACTTCTCCAAAGCTACATAGTTGAAGACCTCTCCTTAAGTAGTCTGCCCCAGCCTATGTATGCTCTAGCCCCTCCTGGAGACGTCATGTGCAATTGGGGCAATTGTATACAAATGGCTGAGAGGAGCAACTCAAATCTCAGATGAAGATCCCAGGACCGCCCTACCCTTTCCTTCTTTGAGGGAATATCAACTGTCTTCAGGCTTGACGGGTGGACTCTTGTAAGAGGCACAGCTCAGATGATGAAGATGGCAGCTGTTTTGCCAGGAAGATTGTGACTGAGGTCTACTATAATGCTACTGACTCCATGCCCCTCCCTCACTGGTCATAAATGGCCACCTTCCTTATGAGGCCACCTCTGACTGCACCACACACACACACACACACACACACACACACACACTATGCTTTCCAACTTGGCTGGAAAAGAGAAGGGAGGAGTAGTTCCCCAGAAGCAAAGCCCTTAGTGGGTGGTATAATACTTGGCCTTGTTAGAAGAAGAGGTCCCCATTTCTGCGTGAAGCAATGCTATTAAGCAAAGGCCACCTCCAAGTCTTTAAAACACTAAGTCACATAAGTAACTTTATCAACCCGGACTTGTCAAGACAGTCTTAGGCAGCTCAGCCTTGGCATGTGACAAGTAAATTCTAACAGTTGCATCTGAACAGATCAAGAAAGCAAGCTAACAGGGGTGGGGCGGGGTGTTCCCTCCTCACTGACCTGTAAACAGACTTCAGGAAGTCTGTCATCTCTAACAAGGTTTCTGAGAAGCATGCCACTGAAATCTAAGAATGGCCCCAACTCATCGAAGACAAAAATAATGATTAGAGAGCTCATGTAAAATGAAAGTTTTAGAGTCTCCCAAATGCCTGCAAGTTCTCTAAAAAAAAAAAAAAATACTCCATGTAATTACTTGCAGAAGACTACTACAGTGCTCTAAATAAGGAAACAAGGATGAGAACACTTCCTTTCAATCATAAGAATAACAGTTCTGGACTGGGGGATTCTTAGAGGTGGGAGGACCAAATAGAGACGGGACGTTCATGTTTGGCAGGTATCCTCACTGACAGGCAGCTCTCAGAACACCTGCCTGTCTAAGGAACAAGAGACAACCAGTGTCTGACAGGGCTGCTGCAACAGCCTCCACTCTGGCCTCCCTGCCTCCAGCTCTAACATATTAACCCAGTCATTGCACAGAAAACTAGACAGCCAGGCCTGGTGTTGTGGCGCATGCCTTTAACCCCAGCACTCAAGGGGCAGAGGCAGGTGAATCACTGTGAGTTAGAGGCCAGACTGGTCTACACAGCAAGTTCCAGGACAGCCTAGATTGTTACACAGGGAAACCCTGTCTTGGAAAAAAATGAAAGGAAAGAGGGGAGGGAAGAGGAGGGGAGGAGAGGGGAGGAGAGGAGAGGCAAGGCGAGAGAAAAAGGGAAAGGAAAAGAAAAGCCTAGATAATCAACTGTGTGTGTGTGTGTGTGTGTGTGTGTGTGTGTGTGTGTGTGTGTGTGTGTGTGTCTGTACGCGTTGTGACAGGGTCTTTCACTGAACCTGAAGCTTGACTTACTTCTGCCTAGACTGACTAGTCTGAAAGTCTCATGCCCCCAGTGCTGGGGTTATAAGCACATGTGGCCATGTCAGATGGGGCAACTGAACTCAGGTCCTCATGCTTGCACAGCAAGCTTTCTTACCAACTAAGCCATCTCCCTCTCCCTGGTTAATCTTAACATGGGATTTTAATTGTTTTGATTCTGCATATGTGTGTATGAGTAAGTGCGTGCGAGTGCAGATGTCAAAGACACATCACATCAGGCACCAGATCCCTGTAGAGCTAGAGTTACACACAGGTAGTTGTGAGCAAACCAGATGTGGGGACTGGGAACCAGAGCCGGGTCCTATGCAAGAGGAGTGCATTCTCTTAACCACTGCACCATCTCTCCAGGACCCTTAAGACACAGTTTTGATCAGACTGCCCACACAGCATAAATTCCTTTTTAAATGCCACCCATATTGTTTACAGAATAAATTTAAAACCCTCATGCTAAGATCCTACACAACCCAGACCATCTTTCTGCTTTCGTCTCCCTCTTTATCCCTCCAGGATGCCTACCACCACCCCATGCTCAAGCGGCTCCTCAATATTAGCTCATGTGAATGCCTGAAGGTTTTGGCTTCCTGTCTTTGCTTTGCCTGCTCTTCACGCTCCTCCCTCTCTGGACTCATTGAAGTCCCACCCATTCTTCACAACTCCAGACTAATAAGCGCTTCTGACAGCCACTGTGCATGTGTGCGGACTTACGTACATATGTGTGCAGGTGCACACGCATGTGTGTGCAAGTGGAGGCCAAAGGTCAACTTAAAGCATTAGGCCTCTGGAGCTGTTCATCTTATTTTTGAGCCTGGGTTTCACACTGGCCTGGGGCTCACCCATTCAGCTCAGCTGGCTGGCCATTGAGCCCTAGGGATCTGCTTATCTCTGCCTCCCCAGCAAAGGGATTACAAGTGTGTGTCACCATGTTCAGGTTTTGGGAATTGAACTCAGGTCTCTATGCTTACACGACAGCTACTTTACTGACTGAGCCATCTCCCCAATCTCCTCTCTGTTTCTTAGTACCAGCTTTCCTCCAAATAGCCATCACTGTAACTCTCTGCCTATATTTCCATGTGCTTTCCCACACTCTTTTCACCGTGGAGAATGCAAACTTTTAAGTCAGTCATGTACAATGATCTTACCTGTGTATACTTGCTGACATGACATGGAGAGTGTGGTGGTTTCAATAAGAATGGCCCTCACAGACTTATGTATTTGAGTACTTGACCCCTAAGAAGTGGCACTATTAGGAGGTGTGGCTTTGTTGAAGGAAGTGTGTCACTGTGGGGATGGGCTTTAAGGTCTTATATGCTCAAGGTACACCCTGTATACAGTCTGTCCTCTGATGCCTGAAGATCAAGGTGTAGCACACTCAGCTACCTCTCCAGCACCATGTCTGCCTGCATGCCACCATGCTTCCCACCATGACAGTAACAGACTAAACCTCTGAAAACTGTAAACCAGCCTCAATGAAATGTTTTCCTTTATAAGAGTCGCCTTGGAGCCGGGCGTTGGTGGCGCACGCACGCCTTTAATCCCAGCACTCGGGAGGCAGAGGCAGGCGGATCTCTGTGAGTTCGAGGCCAGCCTGGTCTACAAAGTGAGTTCCAGGACAGCCTCCAAAGCTACAGAGAAACCCTGTTCGAAAAACCAAAAAAAAAAAAAGAGTCGCCTTGGTCATGGTCTCTTTACAATAGAAACCCTAACTAAGACAGATAAATACTTGCTGAATCTGAGTTTGGGGTTAGAAGATAAATTGGTGGATCGAGGGTAGTTCCTAAAGGACAGAGCCTTGTCCCAGGTCCTCCACAGGTCAACACAGACTCAAGAGTGAAGACAGGGCTAAGTCACAGCATCCCAGGCTGGGCCACACCCAAGGGTTCACTAACAATCCCGAGGGGCCACCAGCCAGGGGTCTGAACTGCCAGGGCACTGTTGCAATGTTCATAAGCAGATCCTTGACCTGATGAGAGGCAGACATGACAACCGACCAAAGGGCAGGCTACATGGATGCTGATGCCATCAGTAAGCATTCCAAATATTTAAATGTCTCTCTCTTATCCCTGCCTTTCAGCGTGGAGTCTTCCCAAATATGGCTCCCCTTGGAAAAGCAACCATGGCATTAGACTCCAGGTAATGGTATAAAGATATATTGAGGGGCCAAGGATATAGCTCAGATGGTAGAGTGTTCATCTAGTATGCATGGAATTCTAGCGTAGCATAAACTGAGCAAGGTGGTCTGCAGTCCTCGAGGTCCAGCATGATCACCTGGTTCGTGTGTGGCCCACATGACCTTTGGATGCTAACCTGTCTTTATCACCATCCCTACTGCCAGACTCTGCACATGAGCTGCTCTTACTAGGGGTAACTAACATGCAGCTGAACAGAAGAGCTGTCTGAGGGGGTTCCACAAAAAGTCCCTTCGGTGACCAAGGCTTTAGTAAAACTTCTGGAGTGTGCTAATCACTACTATGAGTTGTGCTGTCACCCCAAAACTGACATATGATAGTACCTCAGAACACGACCTTATTTGGGAATAAGGTTGTTGTAGCTGTAGATGTAATTAGCTAAGATGAGATCATTAGAGTGGGCTCTGGCCCAATATGGCTATTAGTTTAAAACAGAAAGGGAAATTCGGGCACTGAGTCCCTCCTAGGGAGAGATAGAAAAGCCATCTAAACCAACCTTCCCTCAGAAGGACCCAGCCCTGCAGTGCTTTCATTCCAGCCTTTAGAAGCATGAGTTAATGGATTTCTACTGTTTAAACCAGTCAGCCTGGGGCGCTTTATTACAGCAATCTTAACACACTAGTGCTACATTAAAAAATTTCTCACTATAAATCACGATTATTTATGCCAGTTATCTTTATATTTGTCTTTACATTAACCCAAATAATTATTAGGTACTTTCACTTGTTCTGCTTGTCCAAATGAGGACTCCAAAGTTCTGAAAGGTTAAGAAATATGCCACTCTCTATGAGTTTGAGGTCAGCCTGGTCTACAGGGCAAGTTTCAGCACAGCCAGGGCTACACAGAGAAGCCCTGTCTAGAAAAAAACCTAAGAGAGAGGGAGGGAGGGAGGGAGGGAGGGAGGGAGGGAGGGAGGGAGGGAGGGAGGGAGGGAGGGAGGCAGGGAGGCAGGGAGGCAGGGAGGCAGGGAGGCAGGGAGGCAGGGAGGCAGGGAGGGAGAGAGATGCAAGGCATTACGTTGCTGAGTCATTATTGGAGCTCTGCTGGCCCTTTCTGGAGTCTTGTTCTTTGCTCCTTGTCCCATAGAAGAGATTCCTTGTGGGTAATGCTGCCATGTGTCTCAACACTCACCATCTTTAAGACCAGCTCTAGGAGATCTGAGGGCAACTACACTCCAGTGCGCACACACACACACACACCACGGCCTGGCAACCACAGACTTCATGTGGTCATGCTATCAACACAAATGGGCTTCCTGCTCATGTTGCTGAGGACATGCAGCTTGTGTGACTGCTCTAAGATGGTCACACAAGAGCTGGGGTGGTAAGGGATGGCAGGGGAAACCTAGATGGCAGCAGGAGTCAGGAAGATGATGCAACCGAATGTAACGGCTTGCACTGTGCTGAGAACGAAGCCGAAGTACGTATGAAAGGGAAATAAGGGATAGGGAAGAGTGGCAGGGGCTCTACCATCTGCACAGGTGAGACCAGCTAGGGAGATCGTGTCAAAGTCCCCTTGAATAAAGGAGGCTTGGAGATTTTTATCTGTGCCCACAAATATTTATGTGGGGCACTTTGGAGTCTGGCACATTCCTGAGCATGCTTAAGATATATGCTCAATTTAAGATCATACATCAAAAGGAAAAATGGGGGCTGGGAACACCCCTGGGTATTTTTAGTTTGTGTCAAAAGATGACAGTGGCCTTGGTGCTGGGCCTGGTGTTGGGCCTGTTCCTGGTGGCCTGTGCAGTTTTAAGAACAGTCTACTAACTACAGGCCATAAATAAGGGCTAAAGAATGTCTTTGCAGATGTCCCAGAAAGGGTTTCAACTGCCACTAAAAGAGAGGGGACTTTGAAGACGAAATAATAGGTGACATTTTCCTCCCTCCCAACCAGGCTGTCTTACTTAGCTGCTAACAGTTAACCAGTGCTAATGGCCTCGTAGACTAGGCCTAAGCTGTGTAGAGTGAGCTGGGTACCAGGGGAAGGCCATAAGAATCCAGGGTGGGCAGAAAACAGCTCAGCAGTTGTGTGGAATGGAGAATAGGGGTGTGGGGGTTAAAAGGGAGTATAGAAATGGAGCATCTAGGACTCAAGAGGGCAGAAAAGCTTCAGCTCAAAGACAGGATGACCTCAGGGCTGGCCAGATGGTCAGGTGACGAGCATCCCTCAAGGAAGATATGACTGGTCTTGGGGGCTGACCCACTTGGGGCTTGGTTGGGTGGGAATGAAGTGTAGTTGGAAGGAAATAACTCCCTTACAAATAGAAAAAAAAAAAGAGGGACCTATGCTTGGTGATCCACCCAAAATCACATGATGAGCTTACATTCATGCATTTTCATGTGTCCTTGGTTCAATTTTAAGGTCAGCGTCTTGCCAAAACATGACTCCTTGATTTCTCCTCTGACTCCAGGCCAGATAGCGTACTGACGGACCCAGAGGATTGCCCAAGCCACTTCCGGGGGTTGGACGGGTTTGGGGTGTTGTATCTCCTATCAACTGGCCACAAGTGCTTCCCTGAGTGTCTGAGGTCTCAGATATGGGCTTGTAGACTCACTAGCTGGGGCCAGGGCCAGCCTGCAGGAAGCTGGTGGTGGGGATGTGGAGAGTCAGAAGGATCAGAAGCTCAAGACCAGCTTAAGCTGGTACAGAGAACCTGAAACCCTGTCTAGAAAACAAACAGCAACAACAACAGGATAGAAAATAAACAGTAAAACCTATCACAAATCTGAGTCTCCACTTCCTACCCTACATACATGAAATTTAGTCACTCCTGTAGACCAGTGCCTCAAAACATAAAATCACACCCAGTGTGTGCACAGTCTTTGTGGAAACAGGAAGCTAAGGTCCTGGGAAAGGATGTTACAATATAGCACCTGGACTGGCACCATCCAGGGCCCTTCTGCCTCTCGCTACATTTCTGTTCACCTCTTCAGGCACGTCTTAGTGACTCCTTTACACACACACACACACACACACACACACACACACACACAGAGAGAGAGAGAGAGAGAGAGAGAGAGAACATCTCAGCAACTGAAGTCTCTCCATCCCTCTTGGATTGCTTAGCTGAAGGAAGTAAAGTCCTCTCTGGCCGGAGTCAGCCAGTCCAGAGTCACAACAGGGATTAAGCATCTTACAGAATCACTAGAAGGGATTTAGAAAACAGTTTAGGCTGAGCTTTCAACAAGGCTCCCAGAAGACCACCAAGCAAGCAGCAGGGCCCCTCTAACCAGGATCTGACCTTCTCCAGAGCCAATGCTGCCATAGGCACCCGACTAAATGTGCACCCCTTGCTTCCCAATGCCCAAGCTGGTGGCTGGAGGAGGATGTCTGCCTGTACACTCAGAGGAAGGCCAAGAAGCCCCACCATTGCAAGGCCAGTGGGCAGTGCAGGAGCAGAAGTGTGGCCTCTGATCTCCACAGTGCTTCAAAATCCCCTGAGGCGTCCCAGCTGTATGGGATCATGGGAAATGAAGGTTTTAGCTTTCCAGTCTTTGCTGTATTGTAGAAGTCCAGATGGCAAGAAACTGAAGAAAGCTTCCAGGCAACAGCTAGGAAGGAATCAAAGTCCACAACACACGTGAGTAAACTCAGTATGTCCCCAGTCACATAATGACTACGCCATAGGTGACATCTTGATCCTATCTGTGGAAACTCGAACCAGGACCAGGTGAGCTGGGCCAGAGTCCTGAATGTGGAAAGTTTTGAGAATCTGGGTCAGATGGGCATAGATTCTGAGGCACTTCCCTTCACGGTATCCTCAGCTCCATTATGGGACACAGCTGCCCCCGTGCAGAAAGATGAGAAAGAAGAGGTGTACTTGCCTTGTGTAGTTCCTTGTCAGACCTGAGAGAATATGGACCTGAGTCAGATCCCCTAGTCTACCTAGAGGTTGATGTACCCACCTTGAGATGTGAAACACATGCGGGCACACACACACCCACACACACACACACACACCCATGCATATACTCACAAACAAGCACACACATGCACACACCACACACACATGCATATACACACAGGCACACACACGCACACATACATATACACACAAACAGACACACACACCATACATACATACATACATACATTCACACATGCATACACATACACACACATACATACATACACACAAGCAGGCACACACACACCACACATACATACATACATTCACACATGCATATACACACACACATACACACACATATGCATATACACACAGGCACACACATACATGCACACACCACACGCACACATACATATACACACAAACAGACACACACACCATACATACATACATACATACATACATTCACACATGCATACACATACACACACATACTTACATACATACAAACAGGCACACCCACACACCACACACACACACATACATACATACATACATTCACACAAGCATACACACACATACATACATACATACATGCACACAGACACACACGCGCACACATATACACACAAACAAGCACACACATGCACACACCACACACACATACACACATACATACATTCACACATGCATACACATACACACACATACATACATACACACAAGCAGGCACATACACACACCACACATACATACATATATACATTCAAACAAGTATACACACACATACATACATACCTACATACACACAAACAGACACACACACACCACACACATACATACATGCATTCACACACACACACACACACACACACACACGCAGAGGCACACCCTCCACCTAGCGGACACCATCTCCCTTGCTCTGAGACAGGAGCAGTGGTAAGAAGCCTGCTTCCCATGGCCCCAGAGTGAGGAAAAGGTGAGAGTGAGACAAGGGGGTACCTCAAGTTCTAGGTTTCCTAGGTTACGGGAGATATGCCCTGTTAGCTCATGCAGGGTCAGGGTGCCAAGAGAATCAGTCTCCATAAGCGCATGCCCTGTGTACCTCTCCTGCCCCCTCACTCACCTACTCCAAGAGTAGGCCTAGCACACACTATCCCTGGGGGCCTTGGCCAGGCACGGTGGGCAGGCTTCCTGCCGTGTCCTGTTTGAGTGTCAGGTCGGATATGAAAGGGCTCGGACTCTCTGGGAACCAACTCTTTTATGCCGGGTGTATTAGCCAGTCACGTGGCTTGTTGTTGTAACAGGAATAACTGACCAGAGCAGCTTAAGGAAGGAAGTCTTTATTTTGGCTCACAGTTCGAGAGGTTTCTCATGACGGTGAAGGCACCAGTCGTGGGATGAACCTCCTTGGTTAACTCTCTCCAGAAACACCAGACACACCAGCGGTGTATCTCCTAGGTACCTCTAAGTCCAGTCAACTTGGCAGTAAAGATCAACATCAGGCTGTCTGGATTCAGAAGACTTCAGCCATTTCCTGATGTCTCCATGGGGCCACCAGCCTTCTGCCCATGTGGTAAGAACTCTTCCTTCTTTCCCACCAACAGTCGGTACCAGAGGCAGCATGTGACTCAGCCAGCTCCATTGCCCACCAACCTGCCCCCACAAGGGGAAGAATTAAAAGGAAGAGTTGTCCATGCACTGCCTCCCTGCTTCCTCTCGGACTGATGTGGCATTTTTTTTAATGAAAAAAGGACTCCAGGGGCCTTCAAGCCTGCTCAGAGCTGTGTATCTTATGCAGTGTGGGAACAGCTGCTCATTAGGAGTCAGGCACTGACTAGACTTTACTTGTGGTCTTTTGGTTGGACCTCACCAAGACCCAAGGAAGTAGCTCTCCTGTCCAGTCCTGAAACTCAAAACTTGCTAGATTGCTGTACTCTTGATGTTGTAGAGCAAATAAATCATGGCCCTAGAACTTAAACCCATAGTTGGGCTCCAAGTCTAGATGCCCAGTTCCTGTGCTACAAGCCTATTGGGTCTATTTCCTTCCTTCCTTTCTTTCTCCCTTCCTTTTTCCTTTCTTTTCCTTCCTTCCTTTCTTTCTTTCTCTTCCTTCCTTCCTTCCTTTTTTCCTTTCTTCCCCTCTCTCTTTCCTCCTTCCTTTTGTGTATGTGTGTGTGTGTGTGTATTTATGTGTGTGTGTGTTGATGTGGGTGGTTGTTTATGAGAGTGGCTGTTCATACAAGTGGGTATTCATGTGGGTGAGTATTTGAGTAGGTAGATATTTGTGTGGGTAGGTGTTCATGTGGGTGGGTGTTCATGTGGGTGGGTATTCATGTGGGTGAGTATTTGAGTAGGTGGATGTTCCTATGAGTGGGTGTTTATGTGGGTGGGTATTCATGTGGGTGGGTGTTGGTTAAGTGTGAGATCATGTGAGTGTACACACATGTGGAAGCCAAACTACAATCTCAGGTGTCATTCCTTGGGAGAATATTGTTTTTTGTTGATTTTCAAGGTTTACTTATTTGTATTTCATATGTATGAGTGTTTTGCTTGCATGTCTGTGTACCAGGTGTTTGCAGTACTAAACAAGGCCAGTAGAGGGTGCTGAATCACCTGGAACTGAAGTTACGGATAGCTGTGAGCTGCAATGTGAGTGCTGGGAATCAAATCTAGGTCCTCTGAGGCACTGGGCTGTTTCTCCAGCCTTCCTTCTATCATGATTTTTAAGACAAGGTCTTTCACTGGGACCAGGGGCTGGCCTAGTGGTCTAGTCCTGACTTTGTGTCCCCAGATTACAAGTGTGCACTATCACACCCAGATCTTTTAAACAAGGGTTCTGGGGCTCAGACTCGGATCCTCATGCTCTGAGCACTTCACCAGCTGAGCTATGGCCTCAGCCAAGAAAATGGCTTTCTAAGGCCCAACTGCTTCCCCTACCTACTGCAATTAGAATCCACTGTGAGAGGCCATCCTCCCTGCTCCCTCCAGAATTCCTGTGAAAAGTTAATAGACAAGACTATTTGAGGTCTTAGTTCTTCACAAACCCTTTCTCTTCCCAAAAGCCTACCCAAAGCAGACCATACACAGGAGTTAGGGCACCCAAGTTCAGTCATTTCACTCAGAAGAGGCACCAACAAGCTTTTGAGTCAAAGGACCCTGGACTGAAAACTGAGCTCCACTATGTGTTAAGTGGAAGACACCACTCTGAGACATCTTCATCATCTGTCTACAAAGTGGGATAAGTAAGGTTCACTTCTTGGGGTAAAGGCTGGCAGTGGGGTCTACTGCCCACCTAACCCAAAGGCACTGCCTTGAATCTCATCTCAGCCTCTACAAGAAATTAAGATCCACATAGAGAATCATTCTTCTCCAGGCCTGAATTGCGTCCCTTTCCGTAGAAGGCAGAGAGGCTGCTATGGGTCCTAGTTTACATTCTTCTCCTCCATGAAGTTTCAAGGACTGTGCCTGTGCTCACACTGAGGATCAACAGGCCCAAAGACAGAAAGGAAGGGGAGAGGCTGGGCCTGCTCCAGGCCTTCCCATCAAGAGTTCTGACAGAGCATGACTGTGGCGGCACACGACTTCAGCCCCCTCTCTTGGGAGGCAGAGGCAGATAGATCTCTGTGAGTTAGAGGCCAGCCTGGTCTACAAAGCTACACAGAGAAACCCTGTGTGGAAAAATAAAAAATAAAAAAGTGAAAGTTCTGACAGGAGTTGCTGCTCATTGGGAATCCTGGATAGAAGAGACAGAAAGCAGAGTGTGACTGATTTAAAAACCACGGCAACATAATAATGGAATCTAAAGTCCAGAGGTGGCACAGGATGTTCTCAGTATGGGGCAGGGGCATTGCCGACCCTATCTGTAAGTCTCTCATCCACATATCCCCATCAGCTTTTTCTAACCCGGCCTTTTCGGGGGAAACATTAATAGTCCTCTGCCTCCACAGCTCCTTTGCTTCCTCGTTCAATCTTAAAACAGTTGCAGTCATCAAGGCAATATCAAGCGGCTGGGGTTGCAATGGTGCTGGTCCGCAGCTGGGGACTGAGAAGTGACTTCTCAGGGACTTAAGTCACACATTAGTGCACGCAGGTGGCGTGTGGATCTGTGTGTTTATGCAAAGTGGATGAGTTTGAGAAACCAAAATCCTGGACTAAGCAGTTTCCTGGAAGGACCTTGAACTCTGGTCGCTGCTGCTGAGACCTTGATGGCCCCCAGGAACCTCCGCAAAATCAGTTTCCCCAGCAGTGCCTATAATAGGTTGGACAAAAGGAAAACCAATTCAGAGAACAAAAGAAACGAAGTTATTTCTGAACAAGTATGTCCTAGGACTACTTTCAACCTTCCTAGCTCCCCGCTTGGCTGTAGCAAACGGGGCCTCAAATCCAACTTGTAGTCACCATTCCACCTGGGTGGGTGGGGATCGAGAGTGGGGAGGGCAGCCTCTTCATAGCTCCCACCCCACCCCACCCCCACCGGTCTTCCCATCTCGTTTTTCCAGGAACTCACAGGAAGATACTGACACTCAGTGCTGATACAGCACATCTCAGCACAGTAGTAAGGCTGCTCAAACTATCTACAAGAGTACTTTGAAGAACTGGAGATGCCCAGACTGTTGCTCAACCCAGGACCTGAGGGAGGATCCCGGAATCCCGGCCCTGAGCGGCCCTCTGCTGCCCCCTGCTGGGTCCTGGCTTACACATTCACCTAGCAACCGTCCTAAAACAGGCTTGCCCACCTTTTTACCCACCCATCACTACTCAGTATGCTGGAAGCTGTGAGAAGTCACTTTCTTGTTCCAAGGATCCTGTCCTCAATGTGTTCCTTAAAAAAACGAAAAGGGGGGCTGGAGAGATGGCTCAGTGGTTAAGAGCACTGGCTGCTCTTCCAGAGGACCTGAGTTCAATTCCCAGCACCCACATGGCAGCTCACAGCTGTCTATAACTCCTGTTCCAGGGGAGCCTATGCCCTCAAACAGATATATGTGCTGGCAAAACACCAATATACATAAAATAAAAATAAATAAAATGTTTTTTAAAAAACCGAAAAAGACTGAAAAGGTAGAGGTGCAGTGGCGGCGCATGCCTTTAATCTTAGCAGGGGGGTGGCAGAGGCAAGTGGATCTCTGAGTTTGAGGCCACCCTAGTCTACAGAGTGAGTTCCAAGACAATCAGGGCTACACAGAGAAACCCTGTCTCGAAAAACAAAAACAACAACAAAACCCAAACCAAAATGAACAACAACAAAAAAGTAGAAAAGGGTTAAAGCTACAGAGTCCCAGTCAATCCATTCATGAATCATACTGTACGCCTGCTATTTGTTAGATACTAAGTGTCAGAACTAAGGATAAGAAAAGGAACAAAAAAGAAACAATCCCTAGAGCATCTTGCCCTGAATCAACACGACAGTGAATCAGGCTGAAAATAAGAATCTGTGTGCAGGGTGGGGGTAAGAAGAGGCAACCGACTGGTAAGGGGGCAGGGGACAATGGGACAGAGGCAAGGGTTCGGGGGAGATGAAGACAGGAGCACGGGAGGACCAGCCTGAGCAGTGGGTGGGATGGACACTGGCCTGTCCCCTAAGAGCACTGGAAGCCATGGAAGGCTGCAGGGCAAGGATGGGAGAATGTGCCTGTCTCTCTGCTCCTGCCCCTGGCTGACCTTTCCTCCTCCGGGCCCTGGGAACCGGCATTCCTCCGTGTTTGTCTGCGGCTTTTTTCTGTCTACACTCTCTTGCCCCATTGTTCTGAGTCTAAACAACATTCACAAGTGGGCTGGTGTCTCATGTGGACCTCTCTGCAGGCTACACGACATAAACTCTTTTCTGCCTGGTTTTGAGTTTCCTAGGCAAGACCTTAACATCTCCACCCCACACTCGCCATTTAATGCTGATCTCCTCCCCTTCACTCCAAACCCCATTTCTTTAAACTTTTTGATTAGCACACAGAGAAATGAGTTGTACTGCCACATGTTCATACACATATGTTATTGTACCTTACTTATTCACCCCACATTCACTGCCGTCCCCCATTCCACAAAGCCCCCCTTTGCTGGTTCCTTTCCTCTCCCCACATGGTCCCCTTCTGCTTTTGTGACACTCATGTTCCATCATCCTCAATTGCCTGACACCATGCCCTCACCTTGATTGCTTCCTTAAGAGCATGTCACACATACATACATACATACATACATACATACATACATACATACACACACCCCAAAACAAATTTTTAATCTAGGTTTTGTTTCTAACTGAAAATATATAGTATTTATCTTTCTATGGCTTATTTTGATTAACATAATTTTTCTAGTTCCATCTACTGAAAAATGTCAAAATATCTTTCTTCTTTACAACTGAACATAATCCTACTGTGTATATGTGTCATTCTTCCTTTTTCTATGCATCTGTTGATGGACTATAAAACCCAGAGGCCTTAAAGAGGGAAGGCAATAAATTGGCACAAATAGCAATATTATTTAGGTATTAAAAGAGAAAATTATTCAAAAGACTAACTTTCGAACCAGAATATCTCCTCTGGTATAATTGAAGAAATTAAAATAGTTTGTTTTTGTTTAGCAAACTGGCAAAAAAAAGAAAAACAACCCACCCTTCTCTGGTGCCAGTAGGACTCCCCTCCTCTCACTGAGGGTGCAGGCAGAGCAAATGTGTGCATTCTCTCTCTCTCTCTCTTCCCCGGCCCCAGACAGGGAGGCAGGGTTTCTGAGATGGGGTTCCATCTGTCCTGGAACTAGCTCTGTAGCCCAGGCTGGGCTCTAATTCACAGAGATCTGCCTGCCTCTGCCTCCCAAGTTTAGAGGTGTGTGATACTACTGCCTGGCACATTCATTCTTTTTCTACTGCCTGGGGGGTCAAACCCAGGAACGTATGCTTGCCAAGAGTATAAGCCACATTCACAGCCTGATGCATCAAACTGCAGTTTCATTTTAGAATCTATATCAAAATTTAAAAGGTATATATCCATTCACATAGCAAATAATTTAGTTTTGTTTGTATTATACTTAAATACACATGGAGATATATGTAGACACTATCTGTCTTTGTTAGGGTTTCTGTTGCTGTAACAAAACACCAAGACTAAAAGGCGAGTTGGGAGGAAAGGGTTTATATGGTCTACACTTCCAGATCATAGTCCATCACTGGAGGAAGTCAGAGCATGACCTCAAGCAGGGCTGGAACCTGGAAGCAGGAGCTGATGCAAAAGCATGGAGGAGTGCTGCTTATCGACTTGCCTTCCCTGGAGTGCTCACCCTGCTTTCTTACAGAACCCAGGCCTACCAACCCAGGGGTGGCACCACCCACCATGGGCTGGGCACTCCCCCACTGATCACTGAATAAGAAAATGACTTACAGCTGGATCCTTGGAGGCATTTCCCCAGCTGAGGTTCCTTCCTCTCTGGTGACTCTAGCTTGTGTCAAGTTGACACACAAAACCAGCCAGTGTACTATCCTTGTTTGTGTAGAGGGTTCTTCTTTGATACGAGCAAAATGCAAAGTACACATCAAAGTATGCAAATGAAGGCCTGGAATAATGGCTCAGCCAGCAAGAGCACTTGCCCCACAACCGTGAAGACCATAGTTCAGATCCCAGGACCCACATAAACCAGATATGGCCCTGCCAATGCGGAGGCAGGAGAATCGTTGGAGCTCTCTGGGTACCAGCCAGGCTGAAACTGAAAAGCTGGGTGACTTGAGTTGATAACTGATCACACCTGCATGTTGGAGCTTCCATGAAAGTCTCCAAACCATACTATCCAGATGACGGCCGAGATGCCTGGATACTAGGGGTGGAGTACCTTAGGAGGATGCAGAAGCCCAGCACCCTTCTCTACCATACCTTGTCCAGAGGTTCTTTTTCTCGCTATTAATCTTTTTCACTTGCTTTTCAACCATAAGCAGCCTGTAGTTTAGTGTGGCTCTAAGTTTGTGAGCTTCTTTCACAAGGTGATGGACCTGGAGGCAGCGGCACTGGAACCCCCAGTTTATAGCTGAAGTCAGAAGTGTTGGTTCACAACTTAGAACTTGAGATCTGCAGCTGAAAGAGGTAACAGTCTTGAGCCATAATCTGGTCTGTGGCTCTATCTCCAGAAGATAGTGTTCAAAATGAGTCAAATTAATAGGACTCCCAGATGGGGTCTTCAGAGAATTCACTAATTCATGGGAAACACCTCACACACATTTTAGTGACTGGAAGTGTCTATGTTGGATAGTAAGTAGGGAAAGAAAAAAAACATTGTATATGTCAGCAATCTCAGCATTTGGGAAGTGTTGCTCGGAGAATCAGAGGTCATCTTCAGCGGCTTAGCTGTGTAATGAGACTTTGCCTTAAGCAGCAAAACAAGAAGTCAGGTGAGGTGGGTCACACCTGGAACCCAGGCACTTAGGAGGCTGAGAGAGAAGGAGCTGGACTGAGAGGCCAGCCTCAGGGTACATAGCAAATCTGAGATTATTCCAACCTATAAGAGACCCTCCCTTGGGCTAGAGAGATGGCTCAGTGATTAAGAGCACTGCTGCTTTTCCAGAAGACCTGGGTTCAATTTCTAGTACCCCACATGGAAGCTCACAACTTTCTGTAACTCCATTTCCAGGGGACACCTTTACACCAATGCACATAAGTTAAATGAGAGAGAGAGAGAGAGAGAGAGAGAGAGAGAGAGAGAGAGAGACAGAGAGAGAGAGAGAGAGAGAGAGAGAGAGAGAGAGAGAGAGAGAGAGAGAGAGAGAGAGAGAGAGAGAGGAGAGCCTCCCTCAAGAAACTAAAACACAGCTGGGTGTGGTGGTGCACGCCTTTTAATTTCAACACTTGGGAGACAGAGGCAGGTGCATCTCTGTGAGTTTCAGGACATCCTGAACTACACAGAAAGACTGACAGACTTTTCAGACTACATAGAAAAACCCTCTCTGGAAAGAGAAAAAGAGGAGGGAGGAAGGGAGGAAACTAACACAAACAAACAAGTATTCCTGAATGCAGAGGGAACTAGACAAAGCTTCATCTAGACAGATAAAGTTACTTTAACAGATATAGCCTGGATCTGAAGACAGAAAATCCTTTCTGTTCTGTGTTCTTGGACAATTCAGTGAACTTTCTAAGCTTTAGGTCCTTCACCTGAAACAGGAACAGTCACTCTCACTTTTGGAGTTCTTACACAAATTGGACATACTGTGTGCTGAATGCCTGCCACAAGACCATTTTTTCTACTGTCTGACTCAACAATCCTCCATCCCTAGGCTCTCAAAGTGTGGGCCCTGGACCAGCAGCATCAGTATCAGCTAGAGACTCAATAAAAATGAACATTATCCACTCCTAAGAATCAGACATTGGGGAGCCATTCAGAAATCTGGGTTTAACTCACCCCCAGTACAGCCTGCTACAGTGTCAGATTTGACCAACAGAGCTCTCAGAGACAGGTTTATCTCTGAAACACTTTCCCTAAACCTTAAAAGGTTCTTCTATCTGAGCAGTGGCACACACCTGTGATCCCAGCACTTTGGAGACTGAGGCTAGAGGATCTCTATGAGTTTGAGGCCAGCCTGGTCCACATAGTGAGTTCCAGGACAACTAGGCCTGTGTAGAGACACCATATCTCAAAAAACAAACAAAGAGATCCCCTTCCATCCCATCATAATAGAAAGTTATTTTAAAATGCTATTAATGTTGGAAGAGAATCTTTCCAAACAAAGCAAAAAGACTTGAAATAAAAATAGTGCTGACATTTAAATCCCAATGCCTTTTAAAACTATCTTTGTAAACAGGTTTGCTGTATGGGAGCAGCCTGCCCTGCCGCAAAGGCATGTCAGTATGACCCGGACTTGAACTCTCCTTGGCCAAAACTCACGGATAAGTTGGCAAGGTTTACTACTCTGCTTAACAGTAATTTCACTGCCACAAATTCCATAGTCAAGTTGGCTTTTCACATAATTGATGGAATAAGCAGGTACCATAGCTGGGAAAGAATTTCGTAAGGCATTGTATTATTCTTTAGGCATAAAATCACACTTGGGGGATAAGCAAAAAGAGTCCTCACTGGCCGGGCGTTGGTGGCGCACGCCTTTAATCCCAGCACTCGGGAGGCAGAGGTAGGAGGATCTTTGTGAGTTCGAGGCCAGCCTGGTCTACAGAGCGAGTTCCAGGACAGCCTCCAAAGCCACAGAGAAACCCTGTCTCGAAAAACCAAAAAAAAAAAAAAAAAAAAAAAAAAGAGTCCTCACTGAAGAGCAAGTTGATTCGTTTTGTTTTGTCTTGTCTTGTTTTGTTTTGTTTTTCTCTGCCATAACAAGTCCCAGAATTCAGTGGTATGCTTTTAGTTTTCCTTTTTACCTGTATGGGTGTTTGCTTACATGTATGTCTATACACCACATACATGCCTGCTGCCTACAGAGAGCAGAAGGTATCAGATGCCCTGGAACTAGAGTTACAGAGGGTAGTGGGGCAGCCCAGTGTTCACCATACTGGGAACCACACTTTTGACACGTTTTGGCTGGATTTTAGCGGGAGGCTTCCTAGAACAGAAGTAATGCACAGCAGACAGCAAAGAATTTAAGTTTCAGTGGTGGATCTACTCGTCGCCGGCCTTAAAGCATATTCTTATCAAGATTCTATTCTGCTTGAAATCTGTTTAAGACTTTTTAAAACTTTTTTACTTCCCTCCTTCAGAAACCTTCAATAGTAAAGCCTTTAAAAGGAGAAGAGAGCGATCGAGTGGCTCTCTGGATACAAGGAAAGCAGGGGAGAAGCGCTAAGAGGCTGTCCCACTTTGAGTGAGAGAGAATGCAAAGGACACACAGCCAGTGGATGACGTGGGCACAGCATCCACCAAACATGACGCTTCATGTCACTTTCCCGTCACCTGGAGACAGACGTGACTGCTGCCTACCTGCTGTCACCTGCACCACAGACAGACTCACTGCTCATGTCATGTCTGAAAAAATAAATGACTTTCAGTAGTATCCATAGCCGGCTGGTTGCTATTACTCAATTACTACCAGAGGAAATAAGGATCAACCAAAGAGGTTAAGGGACCTGCCCGGGCATTCTGAGGACAGCACCCACTTAAGGACCATTTCTACATTTACCCAGTGGCTTGGGAAGAAGTCCCAGACAAGGCAAACCAACCTGAGACACAGACCTGTGCAAACACCATTTTATTCTTTTTGAAAAAGGTTTATTTCATTTTAAAAAATCTCAATTCTTCTTCCCCTCTCTTCCCTCCCCTCCCCCCACTCCCGATATGTGTGTGTGTGTGTGTGTGTGTGTGTGTCCAGGTGACTTTGGAAGCCAGAAAAGGCCATCTGATCCCCTTTGGAACTGGAGTTAAAGATAGTTTTGAGTCACTATGTGAATGCTGAGAGCCAAACTGGGTCCTCTGCAGGAGCAGCAAATGCTTTCCCCATACTTAGCTTTTATACCCACAAGTCAGACTGTCACCTATACTGGTGATTTCTTTTCTTCAGCCTTTCCTTTTACTTATTCTTTTAAGGAGTGTAGCATGGGTCTGAGGCCCTAAGTCTGTGTTCTTACAAATTTCAAACACAAGTCCCTGGAATGTGGGAACAATGTATGACTCTCACCTGGCACTCTATGAGAGCCTTAGCAAAGGCTTAAAGTGTTAAATTATTAGATGATTCAGCCAAGCATTTTTGAGAATGTACATTCCTTTTTTAATTCATCAAATCTTTGACATTCTTAGCAGAAAAGTCTTATGGGACATTTGTACACCATGTGAAGGTGTATTGCTATGATTGGTGTAATAAAAAGCTGAATGGCCAATAACTAGGAAAAAGTAAAGGCAGGATTTCCAGGCAGAGAGAGGAAGTAGGAGGAGGAATCTAGGCATGAGGGAGGGGCGGGGTGAGAAGACATGGAGGAAGGTGCATGACAGAATGTAGATGAATAGAAATTGGTTGATTTAAGTTATAAGAGCTAGTTAAAAAACAAGCCTAAGCTAAGGGCAAGCTTTCATAATTAATACGTCTCCATGTTGTTGTTCGTGAGCTGGCTGATATAACAGAGAAAGACTCATTACATATGGTGTTCAACATGGGGACACGTATTTCTACATAGGCCCTGAGAAAGCTTTTAAAAAGTTTCAAACATACAAACAAGGGCCAGATGTGAATTCCTAGCCCTGCAGTCTCTCAGACGGACTGGTGCTCAGTAGTGTACAGAGACATGGCTCCCTGCCCTTGCCAGTGGGTTGGAGCCAGCTATCAGAGCCTCACAGCGACTGGCAGGGCCATTTAAGGTTTGTTTTGTGGTCAGAGAACGCTGCAGGTTTGCAGTAAAGCTGTCCAGACCAAAAACAAACAAACACACAAGCAAAAACCTTTAAACAGATACAGTAAAAAGTGGATATAGACAGTCATAAAAAATAAATAGTTTAAAAATAATAAAGTAGAGCGTGTGAAGGTGGCAGTAGGAACGTGGGTCTTCCGTTGTTGCTGTGGGGTCCACGGCCAAGCACACGGGCCCCCGGCCTGAGGTGGTGGTGGGAAGCCCACCGCAGTTTGCTGCAATGTCATGGGGGGTGGCAGGAGAAGTAGCAACAAAACCACCGGCGGCGGGTCAACTGGCTTCTTCAGAGCAGGAGGAGCGGGCTACTCACACGCTAACTGGTATGAACCCCTGTCTCCATATTAAATGTGGATCCATGCTATCTTGTTCTGGATACAGATGAGTTCATTTTGCCAACTGGAGCTAACAAAACTCGAGGCCTAGTTGATCTAGCTTTCTTTACCATTGGAGGATGTTGCATGCCAGGGGCTGCATTTGGGGCAATGAACTATCTTCACCTAGGATTGAAGGAAACCCAGAGCATGGCCTGTTCCAAACCAAGAAATATGCAGATTTTGAATATGGTAACTAGGCAAGGGGCACTTTGAGATGATACTCTAGGTTTCCTGGCTTTGCTCTATAGTGCATTTGGTGTTATCTTTGAGAAAACACTGGGTGCAGAAGATGACCTCAGCATAGTAACAGCTGGAACCATGATAGGAATGTTGTATAAATGTACAGGTGGGCCGGGTGGTGGTGGCACACGCCTTTAATCCCAGCACTCAGGAGGCAGAGGCAGGAGGATCTCTGTGATTTCGAGGCCGGGCTGCACCAACAGCCTCCAAAACAATACAGAGAAACCCTGTCTTGTAAAAACCAAAAGAAAAAATGTACAGGTGGTCTTTGAGGAATAGCATGTGGTGGCCTGGCAGGACTGACACTCACCAGTCCCTATGCACTGTATGACAACTGGGAGCATGTGAAAGGTTCCCTGCTCTGACAGTCACTCTGAAGGAAGACTTTGCCACCTCAGGAATGGGGGACATTTCATAGTCATCCAGACCGATTAATAAATCAGTCTGAAGTTGCTTTCTCTCTTGTACCTACAATTGCTTTGAACAATTGGAGACCCTGATTTGCTGTGATGAAGATCATGGATGGTTAGCCTGGACTGCAGTGCTGGCCCTTAGTGAGTGGAAGCCAAGCTCTTTGGTGACTGACTCACTGAGTATGTGTTCTCTTCTCCTTTGGAGACGGTCCTCCACCTGTTTTTTCACCTACCCCCAAGCTGGAAAATAGATTACTCTCCAAATTCAGGCCATACTTATTTTCAACATTTTTACCACCATGTTTATCAAAACTAATGTTGTCCTGTATTCCAAATAAAGGGTGAAAACAGAAACAAAGTCATAATTCCAGCAAAAAAAGTCTTTAAAGAGACTAAAGTATTATAAAAAGAATAAGCCATATAAAGATGGGAAACACACAAGGTATCTGGACCCTGTATGGTACTTGGTTGAGTTTGAATTTTTTAAATGCTCATGTACAAAGAACAATAGCTACTGAGAGACATTGTATTATGGAAACTGCTGAATTAAACCCAGAAAATATGTTGCATTGGGGGAGAGGTTATGTCTTTGTTTCCACAGGAAACAAAAAGTTATGGTTCTCTTCAAAATTAATGAAGATCAAATTTGATTGGGGGAGACACCCAGAAAATCTCGGCTACAAACATAAAGGAAGAAACCAAGAAAGGCTACAGGACAGGTGATGCATATGCTGCTCCCTCTACGTGGGAACAGCTCTGAGACTGGATGAGATGATAAATCTTGTTGACTACGAGTCCTCATGACTTATTGTTGCATGCCATCCTTTCACATGGCATTTACAAAAGTTTGGCTACACAGAATGAATGGAATTATAAAGCTGACAGATAACTTTTACCTGTACAAACAGAACAAAAAATCATCTTTAACTGACTTGTATACACTACACATTCCATACTTGTGTTAATGCAGATATACATGTTACCTTTAACCGTTTGTGTGTTTTCAGAAGGAAAAATAGGACCAGACACCAATAAGGATAAGTAGACCAGGTGAACCAGCCTCTCAGAATGCCTCTGTTACAGTTTCCTCAAAAATCTACATCCAGAACAACTTCAAAGCCGCTAGCTGAGATGCTTCAGCCTATTGCACTTCTCTAGCCAGGACTTCAGATAATCCCTGCATTGTCCCATTACACAAAGACTGGACAACAATGAAACAGCTAACTCTCCCAGAACTTGGCCATTATCTCAATTTTCTCAGGGTTCCCTAAATATGCTATCACCCCAAGACAACAGGAAGCAGTCTAGAGAACATGAAGCCCACATTCCCAAGAGGTGGGGTGGGTGGTTTTTGGCCATTCAGTGTGTTATTCATGTTTATCATCATTTAGGGGGCTTGGTTACAAGTTGGTATTGGTAATGTTTAGGAAAAAGTTGAACCAAGATTAGAATCAGGGATTTCTTTCTAAAGGGAAAAGGGGGATATATAGTACAGAAATGATGGGATAAAAGGGTGGTAGAGAAGTGAGTGGGTTTAAGATGCACCTCAGTTGGGAGCTGGAGAGATGGCTCAGTGGTTAAGAATACTAGCTGGTCTCCCAGAGGTCATGAGTTCAATTCCCAGCAACCACATGTTGGCTCAAAACCATTTGTAATGTTATCTGGTGCCCTCTTCTGGCCTGCAGGGAAACATGCAGACAGAACACTGTATACATAATAAATAAATCTTAAAAAATAATGCACTTCAGTCTATCCACTGATTCATCGGTTGATATCTTGAGTATTAGGATTTCCTACAGCATTGGATAAAGGGGGTCACTGAAAAACTATCATGTCAAGAAAACATTCCAGTTTCTTCACAAACACTGGGTGGATGGGATGTCTTTTCCTAATTTAGGAAAGACGAATGGAGAACTACTCTGGGGCAAGGTACATAGATCACATATATCAGAAAGTTTTTCATAGTGTCTCTGAGACAGCCGAAGACATATATCAGGTAGGCATTTGGATATGAAGATCTGAAATACTAAAGACAGTTCATGACTTGTTTAAAGTACTGTACCCATGCAACTAATTTAAAAATGTAATATAAGTTTCTTGTCCTTGAAAGTTATTGTTACAAACTGCTTAGGATAATTAAGAAATACAGGTTAGTAGTTAGTTGTTTAACAACCAAATTTGTGGTCATGTTAGGTATGTTTTAAAGGTTAAAATGGGATATATTTTAGATAGTCAGGTGGTCTTCAAACACTTTAGAGACCTACAGAATATGGCATTGAAGATGTTTTAGTAATCTAAGACTTCATGACAGTAAGACACGTCTTTACTTCATAAAAGGATTATGGACATTGAAGAACCTCCATATGGAGTTTGCTTTTATTGTTGCAAAGTTAGCCACTAGGCAAGAAACTTCCCTTGCCTTGACTGCTGACAGTATGCTGTCCAATTTGACAAGCATGGGACACAAAATAAGTTGACTGCCAAACTTTACCAAGACAAGGAAAGACAGTCCTTCAAAATTTTCCTGCTTCACAAGAAAGTCTGTCAGATACTCTAGGCCTGTAGGTCAAAGATTGATGCTCCATTGTTGCATAGGAACCTTGGAGGCAGTCCAAGTAGCCATATGTCTTTGTC